CCCCCCGGCGCGTTTCCCGGCACGTGTTGCCGGGGCCTCAGAGGCTCTGAATTCCAGAGCCAGGAGGCAACATCAGGGGAAGGCTTCAGCCTCTATGCCCTGTTGTTGGCCCTCCAGAGGGACTGGTTGGCCACTGTGTGAAACAGGATGCTGGACTGGATGGACCGCTGGTCTGATCCAGCAGGGCTCTTCTTATGTTCTTAGGATCTAGGGGGTAGAATTTAGAATGTAGAGAGATTCCCTTACATTTTATACTGCTAAAAGAACTGATAGTTTGTGGGGATGTCCTTAGTTGGGTCTAAAACAAGACTTACCGTGGGGTCCCCAACGTGGAGCATGTGGGGACCACAGTGCCCCACTAACACGTTTCCAGGGGCCCACCAAATGTTCCTAGAAAGTAGGCAGGGCTTGGTGGGGCTTTTGCCCGGCAGGTCCTCTGATGGATTGTGCACATTTAAAAGGTATCTTGTTAAACAGAGGGTTACTATTAGTTACTGTTCTGTGTGACTTCACTTCCTGCCATTTTGTGGTCAGCTTTGACTCCATTGGTCAGCCATTTTGTGGTTGTGCCCATCACCCTGCATCAGAATTCCAGAGGGCGCCCACAGGCTCAAAAAGGTTGGGTACCGCTGTGCAGGACGTTTTCATTGCTGTTCACATTAATGTTGTTCAAAGCTGTTCTTCATGCTTGTTGTCTTTATCTGTGGACCTGGAGATAATACATGGAACGTTTGACTTGCTGTCGGTATAAATCACTCCCAGAGCTGTAAATCAGATTTGCTTGTAGCCCTTGGACTGGTCATCTTTGTGGTACACGAGGGTTGGCTCCAGATGATCAGGCAGTTACAGAAGCCGCTGCCGCTGGAGCCTCAAAGACAAAAAAGTTTCTTCCAGAGAAGTCTGCTTTTGCAATCTTGCCCACCACAGAGAGTAGATTTTCAGGGGGAATTCCTCAGATGGGAGTGTTTCTAGCGGGATGCTACAAGAGTCAGCTTTTAAGAGAGGGTGTTCATTTTTCAGAACTTGATGTGTTCTTAAATGCTGTGGTTTTTTAAGGCTTTTTCTTAATATTCAGGAGGTATTCTTGAGATTTCAGATATTTCGTGACGTGTAGGAAATGGCCAGCAGGTGCTCCAGAAAGCCGGAAATAACACAACGTGCCTCTGGGTGATGAAGGCACGATGGGGATGTCAGGGGGCAGCACTCTGGTTTTGGGGCAAAACTCTATGGTTTGAAGCTAATTTTACCACAGAGTTTTGCCCCAAAAGTAGGGCGTCACCCCCCAACATCACCAATGTGCCTATGTCACTTCCGGGTGACGAAGGCTTTCTGGAGCACCTGCTGGCCATTTCCTCCCCACTTTCTGATAGCCCTGAAGCTGGGGAGAGGCTCCAAACCGGGGGTCCCCCACCCCCAACTGGGAACCCTAGTTTTCCTACCTGCTTTGCCTTCACTAGCTGACCTTGGGTAAATTGTTCTCTTTCAGCCTGACCTACTCTACCGGGTTCCAGTGTTCCCTCTAAGCTGAGTTAGTGTGAGCTAGCTCACAGTTTTTTAGCCTCCAGCCCACACATTTATGTCATCGCTCAGGAAGGACGGCTCCAGAGCAAACTAATTCATGCAGTAGCCAAATCACTCGCTCACAGCTTTAATGCCAGTAGCTCACAAAGTAGAATTTGTGCTCACAAGTCTCCACAGCTTAGAGGGAACATTGCCGGGTTCTTGTGAGAGTAAAATAGAAGGGGGGAAAAACTGTATAGCCCCCTGGCTTCTTTGGAGGGAGGGTGAGGTAATAAATGGATAAAATATGTTAGATGTCTCTGCAGTTTAATACCATCATGGTACAAGTTACTCAGGGTGCACACAAACATGTCTAAAAAACCCCAGAAGACTCTGGCCACTTCTCCTGGGAGGTGAGCCCAACTTCCCTCTTCTTTTCCAGCACACTTGATCCTGTGTATGAATGGTCAAACAGAATGTTGCTATAGTTATCTGTCCCCCCCCCCCAAAGGCTGTTTGCCTTTTTGTCAGTTGTTGAAAAGGGGTGCTTAAATGTGTACACATTTTTAACTTCCGTATCTTTTTTTTTAATTACAAAAGAGGGGAAAAGACTTAGCGGGAGGTGCCTTTGTGGCATCACAGGCACTGGCCAATCAGTGCTGTAGCACAAGCTGCTTCCGCTACAAACACGGAGCTGGATTCCCCTGAGAAAAGTCTTGTGTTTAAAACTGTAGTGGGCTGCTGCTCTGCTTAGCTAAGTGTGAAGACTTCCTGTGGAGGTTCCTCAGGAGGAAGGATTTACATTTAGCTGAGCAGTATACGGCCCAGTAAGTGTGCTTCCATGACAGCCCTCAGAAATGTAGAATAAAGTGAATCACAGAAGCAGAGTCCTGGAGAGCTTCAAGTCCATCCATAGCTGGTAGCTCCTCAGTCTTAAAGCCGCTTACAGAGATAAATCCCAGGCCTCAAGCTTTTGAGTGGCTCGTGATTGGGAGTAATTCCGAATATGTAATTATCTATCTGGATCTCTGTCTGCCTTATAGTTCATTTAGTGGCTTTTGTCTCTGGTAGGCAGTTAATTACATTTTTTCCTGCCCCCTTTTCTCTTTCTTTGTAAGTACTAAGAGCAACACAATACATTCTTTCCCTAGTTAATCATCATGTGATTTTTATGATTAGTGGTATGGCTAGTTTTCAAAACGAGGGCAATTAACATTTTCCCATTATAATCCTTTTGTCTTCTTCGTTTTGATCCAATTATTGCTATGAAAGGAGAATTTTGACCCTGTTGGAGGCAGAAGCAGTTAGCAATCTAAAGCAATTAACTGCTGGACCGTGAATCAACAGCCTAATTGGGGGGGGGGAATAAATGTGAGGC